AGATTCACTAGGGCTGCATTTTGCGCTCAACAAAAGTAGTTGTACCTGCCAAATAATGTCGAGTACTGAAGTACTTGGAAATAATTTTGAACTTAATTAGTTAAATTTTAATTTTATCATTATTCGACCCCGTTCATAGCAAAAGTAAGTAAAAATAAAAGTTTTCATTGTGGTATGACATTCTTTTTATATATAAACGTAATAAATAAAACCGTATTATAAAGTACTTGGTACTGAAGAAGTTCAAATGCGCACATCAACAGAAAAAAGAAAGACGCAAAACAAAAAGATGCTCAAAACTCGAAAGTGCTGTGGAAAAATAAAGATAAATTTTATAAAATATTTCATTCAAAATGAAGAAAAGAGCTTTTAAGAGCAAGAAAAACGGATTTACAAATCCAATATTAAAAAATTGCATCGCATCGCCAGTTCTCTACCACTGCAGTCCTATTGCGCTGTGAATTTAATAGAAACAAAATTAAAAGATCCAGAGTATGCACAAGCCATGGTAATGAATTATGTTATGGAATACATATTTCACGTTCTAATTGCTGAACATAAATTTTTCAAAGGTCAATTATATCAAAAATAAAAGGTGTGTCTGAGGACGTAGCCATTAAACATTCATTTTCGGACGAGGCATTGCTGCAGCTTGACTGTGACGGCAGATGGGAAAGAAAACCACTAAACAAACTTATACTGGTTGACACAATCCTACGAGGTAATATGCACACATATTAGGGACACAACAAGTTCTGACCATTTATTTTTTCGTTATTTATTTATAACTATATATAAACCTTTTTAACATACTTTGTCAAAAATTCTCAAAAATCGACGCAAGTTCTTAAATAAATGGTCAAAACTTATAAATAAGTAGTATCCCTAATTATGTCGCCACTACATATGTACATATCTTTTAACAATACAAATTTTTTGATAATCTATTTCAATCCACTTAGATGCATTTAAAACTAAAGGTCCTGTGGAGTTCGAAAATAAAATCAGGAAGGCAATTGAGCTCAGCCATCACCGCTTGCACCAAAAAATCTAAAAACATATCGGCAGGAAATGTATAATTTTAGGATATTAGATTTAAGTATGTAATTATGTACGTTGGTGGCAAAAATAATAGAAACGCCTTATTTTGCTTAATTTTTGGCCACATTTCCTTTGTTGATTAATGTTTAATGTACTGTGCTTAGGGTAATGTATTTAGCTTCTAATTTGATGTAATGTACTTAGCTTCTAATTTTTTGACGATCAATAATTAGTTCATAAGATTTTATGAAAATAAAAGAAAAAACAAGTATTACATGTGTCATTAATGATACATTTCTATATCGTGGAAGAGAGATCAGACTAGACGAATTTTTACATCAACTGTGAGTAATCAACAATGATATGAAAACATGACAGACTTGATGTGTCATGATTGATCGGTTATTACATCAAATTTGATTGCACATTACTGACTTTTAATTCTATCAAGGTTGATCACTCATAACTGTCGAAGATTTACATCACTACTGATGACTAAAATTTGAATGCCGGACTCAAAAGGAGTAAGCAGTCTAGCAATATGCCAGAACGTATATGTTAGAAGGAGATGAAGCATCACACGTACACAAAAGTTTCCATCAGATTTTTCACACTGCCCTTTGGAATTTGATAGAAACTTGTAGGTAGCCAGTGACAGAAATCTCTATCAGTCTTGCTACTCAAATGATTTGTCAAATGATAGTCACTGTTCTTGCAGGGAGGGTATGGAAATATCCCTTTTTGCCTAGCAGTGAACCTTTTAATGTGGGCAACAATGATGTTTTTCAAATAAGGCAGATCGGAATATGCGCTCGTGGGAAGACAATTCATGCAATTATTGTACCATGGTTAGAAACTGAAAAGTTATCGGTTAAATCTGAGATTATTTTATAATTACAGATTAACAAGGGACGAATTTTGTATGGCTGAACTCTTTTTCTAATGACAGATAAGGGAGTTAAGCGGATAATATATTTATATGTATAATATATTTATTGAATCAGTATAAACCAATATTTACTCCCAATGAGAGAAATATACAAGTACGAAAACACATAACCAGCAAGAAGTTGCAAGTTTTATGAACAGCTGATTAATTTGTTATTTTCCAACGCAATTTTCTAAGAAAAATAGTATTTCTCATCTTAATATATATTTAAATAGGTTTATTTTGTCAATTGCAACTCTAAAAGCACCACGAACAATTCTTTTGGTAATGTGAATTGCATTAAGCATCATGCCATCAGCTGTATTCTTACTAGCAAATAGTTCCTAGTAAAAATTTATCCAGTAAAAATTGCAAGTTCAGCTGTCATTTTTGCTCTCTCAATTCTCTCTCGTTTGCTAAACTTTTATTTTTACTTACTATTGCTATGAGCGGGGTCGAATAATGATAAAATTAAAATTAAACTAATTAAGTTCAAAATTATATCCAAGTACTTCAGTACTCGACATTATTTGGCAGGTACAACTACTTTTGTTGCGCACAAAATGCAGCCCTAGTGAATCTTGTGGTTACTATGGCAACCAACTACCGTTACTTCTATCAGCATTGACACTCACTTGATCGATCAAATGACAGTCATTCCCTACGGAGCCAAACTGGCATATAAAATTTTGCATATGTGTTAGTTTTCGTTGAGAATGTGTTAGAGTTTCTGTCATTCGCGTCTTGTAGGGAAGTTTCTATCAAATTCTAAAGGGCAGTGTGAAAAATCTGATGGAAACTTTTGTGTACGTGTGATGCTTCATCTCCTTCTAACATATACGTTCTGGCATATTGCTAGACTGCTTACTCCTTTTGAGTCCGGCATTCAAATTTTAGTCATCAGTAGTGATGTAAATCTTCGACAGTTATGAGTGATCAACCTTGATAGAATTAAAAGTCAGTAATGTGCAATCAAATTTGATGTAATAACCGATCAATCATGACACATCAAGTCTGCATTGTTTTCATATCATTGTTGATTACTCACAGTTGATGTAAAAATTCGTCTAGTCTGATCTCTCTTCCACGATATAGAAATGTATCATTAATGACACATGTAATACTTGTTTTTTCTTTTATTTTCATAAAATCTTATGAACTAATTATTGATCGTCAAAAAATTAGAAGCTAAGTACATTACATCAAATTAGAAGCTAAATACATTACCCTAAGCACAGTACATTAAACATTAATCAACAAAGGAAATGTGGCCAAAAATTAAGCAAAATAAGGCGTTTCTATTATTTTTGCCACCAACGTACATAATTACATACTTAAAGAGCGAAATACACCACACAAGCGGCTTGTCAAACATTCTTCAAACCTACTTT